CGACCAGTTAATTATTTTTTATTTAATTAATATAATTTTTTAAAAAAAAATTATGGTGACAAAACTAGATTTAATCAAGTTAACTTATCATTACAATTATTCAAGACTCTAAACCACAAATTTATGAAAAAAAAATCTTCATGATAACGAGTGGCTTGTAGACTTTGCCGAGCATTCAGGAAGGGGATACAGTTTTGGCTAATACAATGACCATATATTAAGTTGGATGGGGTCCGTAGGGTCCAAGTGAACCTGCTCATGGATGATGACGATGATGTGCGTGCAGACGTTCGTCAACAATTTATTTTCTAGACGCAGCATGCAGTCAAGAGCATGTTAAATTTTCTCATTTTTTATATATTAAAAAAATATGAATTTTATCACATTTACTGTCATTTTTATATTTTAAAAATATCAATACATTTATATTATTATTATTATTATTATTTTATATTAAAAAACTATTCAAAGTAAGTTACACACATATTTTCTTGAATTAAAAGTGAGTTATAAGGCAACATAATATATTGGAGCAAGCATCACTATCACTTAGATGGGGTCTTATTAAATTTCTGCACATGATTTCAACCCTTTTGTGAAGTGATGGGTGCTATCTCTTTTGACCGGTGGTTAGCTCAACTTGGTTCGGTTCAACAAGAAAAGCTAGCATGTGATTTTGTGACGGGGCTAACCATTGTCTGCCTGCAGGTCCATTGTTTCACAAGGGGTGGTACCATCTGTTCTACCAATACAATCCTGATTCAGCTGTGTGGGGCAACATTACATGGGGCCATGCCGTATCACCGGACCTTATTCATTGGCTTTACCTGCCGTTCGCCATGGTCCCTGATCACTGGTACGATATAAATGGCGTGTGGACCGGGTCTGCCACGCTTCTTCCTGATGGTCAGATCATGATGCTCTATACTGGGTCAACTAACGAGTCAGTACAGGTCCAAAATCTCGCGTACCCTGCTAATCTATCCGATCCTCTCCTTATTGATTGGGTTAAGTATCCAAAAAACCCGGTTATAACCCCACCAAACGGGACCGAGACTGACGAATTTAGGGACCCGACAACAGCATGGATGGGACCCGATAGGACATGGCGGATCACAATCGGATCAAGACATAACAAAAGCATTGGCATTTCGCTTGTGTACCAAACCTCCAATTTTACAACCTACGAGTTATTGGAAGGGGTCTTGCATGCGGTTCCGGGTACGGGTATGTGGGAATGTGTGGATTTTTACCCGGTTGCAATAAACGGGTCAACTGGATTGGATACTTCGGCTCAGGGAGCGGGTATCAAACACGTGCTAAAGGCTAGTTTGGATGACACAAAAAGGGACCACTATGCAATTGGGGTTTATGACCCTGTAACCGATAAATGGACCCCGGATAATCCGAAGGAGGATGTGGGCATTGGGTTGCAGGTGGATTATGGAAGGTATTATGCATCAAAATCGTTTTATGACCAAAACAAGCAAAGGAGGATCTTATGGGGCTGGATTAATGAAACTGATACTGAAACTGATGATCTTGCCAAGGGATGGGCCTCTGTTCAGGTACTCTTTATTTAATTTTGTTTTGATATAATTGCAAGTTTTAATCGATTTTTTTGCAGCTTTTAAAAAATTCAGATTTTTTTATTTCAAATTATTTTTTTTATATATTTTTGGATTTTTTAATGTGTTGGTGTAAAAAAATTAAAAAAAAATATTATTGTGATATATTAAAAAAAACACATTAAAAAACAATTTTTATCATAATTACAAGTAAAATTAAACTCAATTTAAGAATTGATCAGGATAGGATTATATTCACATGTGTTAAAAAATATAATTTTTTTAAAAGGTTAAAAGATTTATTTTTTTAAAAAATAAAATAAAATGTCAACAAGATTTGAATGGTAAACCCCTAAATTTTTGTGAAATATGACCTGTGTCATATCGCCGGGCCGACTTAGCTTAATCACAGTATTTTGGAGACGGGCATGATTTATTTAGAGGAAAAAAAATTCTAACAATGTTTGTTCTGCAGACTATTCCAAGGAACGTGTTGTATGATAACAAGACTGGAACTAATATACTTCAATGGCCGGTGGAAGAGATTGAGAGCTTGAGGCTGAGGAGCACAGATTTTACAGAGATTGTGGTTGGACCTGGTTCGGTTGTGCCACTTGACATTGGACAGGCCACACAGGTCTGTTCACCCCTCGTCTAAAACTTGGACATGGCTTCTTTTTTGTAACGTTGTATTAATGTCTTCTCAGCAACAATTTCTTTTGACAATGTTGGCAGCTAGACATATTCGCCGAGTTTGAAATAGAGATAATATCAGAGACAAAACATGAAAAATATGGTTGCAGTGGTGGTGCTGTGGACAGGAGTGCTTTGGGACCATTTGGTCTTCTAGTCATAGCAGACCAAACACTTTCAGAGCTTACCCCTGTATTTTTCCGGCCAGTTAATACAACTGAGGGCATTGTCGAAACTTATTTCTGTGCTGATGAAACAAGGTTTGTGTCTGAGATCGATTATTGAATTTACTTACTGAAAAGAGATTTCTTTAGATTAATCTTTGCACACTCAATATATGAACTTGTCTGTGGGGTTTTCGGTGTCGCCGCTGCCTCGGGAGGCAGGCTGGTGAATGATGATGGAAATTCAATGTTCTGACTACAAGATTGTGCTGTAAACTGATAGATGTTGCATAATGCAGGTCATCAAAAGCTTCAGATGTTTACAAACAAGTTTATGGAAGCACAGTTCCTGTGTTTACAGACGAAAAGTTTCAAATGAGGGTATTGGTAAGGGAGATAGACCACCTTCATGATTGCCACACAAGAAGTTAAATGAGGTTTATGAGAAAATACATCGAACTTAGAAGATGATTGATGAGATATTTTATGCAGGTTGATCATTCAATTGTGGAGAGTTTTGCTCAAGGAGGAAGAAGAGTGATAACATCAAGAATTTATCCAACAAAAGCAATTTACGGGGATGCAAGGCTGTTCTTGTTCAACAATGCAACTGGGGTGAACGTGAAGGCCACACTCAAGATTTGGGAATTGAATTCTGCATTTATTCATCCTTTCCTATTTGACCAAAATTAGAATGGATTGCTCTCAGTTCCATTAAGCCTATTGTATTATATTCTTTTATTGTTTCATTTGGTTGTAAAAAAATGTGAAAACCTTGAGGCAACCACTTGAGATTTTTTTGTCCATGTAATTTAATCCCTTGGTTTTGTAGTTTGCACAAGCTGGATTTCTTCCTGGAATAAACTCATAATTTTGAAATTCTGTTCCTGCCCTTTGTTTAAAGACTATCATTAGTCTTGTTAGTTTTAGTGTTGTTTGATATTACAGTGTATGATGTCTTAAGCATTTTTTGTTTTTTATGCAATTAATATGAAAATTTTGTTCTTATTTGATAGATTTTCACTTGACGAACTAAATGATGCCAAACTTGGAAACATAATCAAAGAACAAATCTAAAACATGGGTCTCTTTTGGGCCAGTGTGGCCCATCTGCCTCAATCTTCTATGCGGCCACTGGCAATTCAGAGCCCAAATTGTTTTGGGACAACAATTTGACCATTATGCAAGCCCAGAGACATTTCTGCTGTCTTCCCAGAAATTAACCACCGTCTTAAACCCACCAACCGGGTGGTGGGTGATTTTCAGGAATCCTATTCGAAAAACAAGCTTTGTGATTTCTATCTTTATCATACCTCGAGGAACTTCGGAGCCAATGTTGAAGGTGCGGCTTCTGTGATCTTTGTCCACAAAGTCAATTGCCTCGAGGAGGATTCACTTGCCTCATCTTTAACTTGCCAGGGGCTGGATTTATGGATCACGTTAGTGGATTATGAGCTGGGGGAGCAGCTTCGGTAGCACGTATCGTGACCAAAATTTATTTGTAAACCCTAGGCATTGGTCCATGTAGGGGAAGGAATATAAAGATTTTTCTTTTGCACATCATCCAAGGTAAGGCCAACATACGATGAATTATAAGGTTTCTCTTTTATCGAAGGGCCTTAACATGATTTGGATCTCCAGGAATTAATTTATGCATCATTGCTTGATTATGGAGCAAGGAAATAAGCCAAATCATATAAGATTTGTGTGTTAACTATTTATTTTGTACAAGACCTTGATAGCCATCTGAAATGTAATATAGTGTAATCAATTATTAATTATATACCTGTTATTCTATATGATTTTTTTAATTTATGCTTTATATTGTCGTTCATTAAATAATTTGAAGAAACCATGAAAATCATGAAATGTTTTTTCACATGTATTTATTCTCTTGTAACCATGTTAGACCAGGCCTGTGGTTGCAGAATTTTCAATCAACATGAAAAATAATGTTATTTAAAAAACAATTATTGAAGTTAATCAAATCAAGTCTTATTTAGGTTTGATTAGCTCAATTGAATTAATTAATTAAGTTTGATTAGGTCAATTTTTAAACTGATTAGAAATAAAAACCTGCGTGTGCCAAGTTTCAGGCCAATAATTGATGTTCTTTTAGAAAAAAAAACTATTAAATTTAATCAGTTTTATTTAGGTTTGATTGGTTCAATTAAATCAATTAAATTTTATCATGTCAAACCTCAAATCGGTTAGAAATAAAGCCTTCATCTCCTAGGTATCCAGTCATTAATACAATTGAGTTGGCGGCTGCTTCTCGTTGGCTACACTGGATGAAATCACCTTCTAGGTTTCCCCATCTCGATGTTTGTAAATTCCACAATTCCCAGAGTCCTTACTCAAGGAAATTGAGCAAATAGGTTGTTCATCCACTGATGTAGGAGAAATTGAAATCAAAGGCTAGCTGAGCTTCTCTCAAATGCTTCTCACCGGACTTGTTCCCAGAGTTAAACACCATTTCTATCGTTGACTGTCCAAATCTCGAATCACTTTGTGCACATAGAAGGCCTCTAAACGATCTCCCCTCTCTCCATTCTTTGAAAATCCAGGGGTGCCCTAAATTAGTTTCTTTTCCCAAAAGAGGATTTACCTACTCGAGTCTTAACGTAAATTATATTACGAGATTGCATAGATTTGAAGCTGTTTTGATTTGATTTTCCTGGGAACACTTTTGATGGACAAGCTGCTGCTGCCGTTTCTGAATGGCAAGCATTGCCTGAATTTGCTGCCGCCTACTTAATTTCTCAATCATCTCCCGGGATGTCACTCTCTGGGGTTTCACTGGACAGTCAGTCAGCTAACTTGTTTATAGGATCTGCATTGCCTGAAGAAACTTCATAACCATAAACTTAAGATTGATGATTAAATGACTAGGGATTTTGGTGGAAACTCAGAAAAATTTCACAGGATTCGCATCACCTGAAGAAACTTCATAACCAGAAGCTGGTTGATGCTAGAAATATAAATAACTGATTCACATAACCAATGAATATTATTCCTGAAGCCAGCATGCCATTTGCTGACGACCCAGTCACATTCTCTTCCACAAAAATAATAAGAGTTCCATGCAAAAACCACAATCATTCCTAAATGTGCATTAAAATTACAAAATAAACAGAACGTGGGGTGTGCTTCTTCTACAAAATGATGCTAAATTCCATGACGATATTTGAAGTCAATCCTACCCAGATATGAGCTGGCAGCTGTTGGGGATGCAGTCGGACCAGGCTTTGGTATTTCTGAAGAACTTTATATTAAAAAAAAAAATGCAGTTTCTAATTATTTCAATACTGCCACTTTTTCAGGATTAATGCAGCCTTTTAGTGCATGATTGATGGGCAGTATTGCCTCTGGCCCATGGCCATAAGCATGACAATGGTATTTTTTTTTTTTTCGATTTTCTGCATTTTTTGTCTTTTTGTATCCTATTTACTTCTTATCCAAAACCATATCATTTTTTGTTTCTTTCGTGCTGTGACAAACATGCTCTCACCGACTTTAATGAAGTAGCCGTTAAGGGGGTGTTATGCAAAACTTTCACTTTTATTTTTTAGATATTTTTTAAAATTATTTTTTATTTAAAAAGATATATTTTTAATATTTTGTGATAGTTTTGATAGTAAAAAAATAAAAAAATATTTAATTTAATAAATTTTCAAATAAAAAAACTATTTTCAAAATTACCATAAAATACAATCTCAAAGACCGCCTCCTAAATTGCTATGATTCTGAAAGTGTTTTATTAAAGAAGTTTTGTCGGCATCTCAATGAATTGATAATTATCACGTATGAGGTGGATGGTGCTAAAACTTTTGGGTAAATTGGCTTATTAGCACAACAAATAAAAAATATTGACAGAATAATATAAATATAAAAAATACTGATGAAAGGATATAATTTTATATTTATTGTGAACATTTAATGATATTATAATTGAAAAACATGATATTTATCCCTGTAAAGATATCATGATTAGAAATGAAATATTATAACATGTTTTTGAATCGCCACAAGTATAAAACTGTGCAATTTATTGAATTTTTTTAAAATGTCTTATTCTATCAATTTTTTAATCAATTGTACTAATTTTTTTAAAAAACCATCATTTTTATGGAAATTATTTATTTTTTAAGGAATTATATAAATATATAGTATTATCGTATGAGCTCAAAATAATTATAACATAAAAATTAAGCAAAACCTCCGTAGGTTTTCTTTTTTTTTAAAAAAAAAAAAAACCCTCCTGCAGATTCCTAAAAATAAAAAGTCTGATTGATGATCAATAAAGTTGGCTCTTTTTTTTAAAAAAAAAAAATAGAATTGATGTAAAAGTTAATTTAAAAATACCCTTTATAGTATAAAAAAATAAATCAAAACCATTCACAGAAAAGATGCATGGATCCATAGAGGGACACCGATAGGTTTCCTCAACTCCCATGTGCAAGGTAGTTGTTGCCACCAAGAAATCAAGTTCAACAGAGAAGACGAGCTTCGTGACTTACCTATAATCATATGGATGGGTAGTTCTGCATTTGGTGGTCGATTTTCCACTTGTCCAAATTAATTAAAAATAAATAAACTGATGCAATGACTTCATCGGCACATGGAGGGACCTCCAAGAACTAGACCCAAAATCATGTTCATGGAATTTTGTAGCTGTCACTTATTCTTCATATACATATATCTACATTCGGAATTTGTGACTAAATTAGAAGATTATGACCTTAGCAATGTCAAATGCATTAAGATTGGATTTTAAAAATTCCAATGTCTCATATCGAATCACAGCAAATCATTCTTGCAAAGCAAACTCCTCACATGTTTCTGTAAAAGGGGAGGATAGCTGGATAGGATTCAAGGCGGCATCTAAATGGTTAAGTTATGATGAAGGTAATTAAAGTTAATGATGATTTGCATCGGTTACTCCATACAGCCAAGGGTGCAGGTGTTCCACTCACCACGTAATTAAATTAATAACGTTGAATTGATTTTAACAGCTTGCTAAATTTATATCTAATTGGATTTAATATATAACTGAACTCATGAATATTAAATATAATAACTTTATAAATTTTTATGTATTTAAACTTAATATATAACTAAATCTTAAGATATTGAATCTAATATATCACTAAACCTGCATGTAATTGAGTTTAATATATAACTGAAATCAATAATATTAGCTCTAATAATTTACTAGATTTAAATATATTTGAGCTCAACATGTTGTTAAACATACTGGATGGATTTAAATCTAGTTATATCCACATGTAATTGGATTCATGCATAATTGAAATTAGAGGTGTTGAGTTTGTTATTTTACTAAATTTACATGTATTTAAGCTTAACATATAATAAAAATTAAAGAATATTGATGTCATATCTATATATAATTAGGTTTAACAAATTATTAAAGAATTCAAGAATGTTAAGCTTGAAAACAAGCAAATTCATGCTATATGTTATATTGATACAACATTCTACCAAGCTTAAAGGGCGTTGAGGTAATACCTTGCTTTTAACCTTTTTAATAATGAATTTTTAAGATTATATATGTATACTTGTAGCATTAACACGGAGAGCATAACAAAAATCCTAGAATAAGAAGAGGTGTCGGCATTTCAAATGCATAACTTTAAAAAAATATTCTGAATCGGGATTTAAATGAAGTGATTGGGAGTTGAAAGTTATCTTCATTATAATAGATAGAAAAAGAAGAAGGTATAATGGTCAAATATAGAGCATTAGCATCATAATTAAAGGATTTAAAAGAAATTGATCATCATATCTTTTTTTTGGAGTTAATAAATATTCATAATTTGGGATTGGAATCAATCATCTCAAATAACATTAAAAATCTTACCAATCATG